ATCAAGCTTTCCAAACTTCACAAGGAAAGATTCTTTTACATCCTGCAAATACTTGTAAGAGAGATAATAATCTTTGCAAAATATAGAGAATGTCACGTACATACCTTCCTCCGATTTGCAGATCAAACATGCCAATTATAATAGTGCTTCCAAGAATATAGCAAGTGTATCCAAAATATGCAATAATATCTTTCAAGATTGTATGAATTTTCCTTAAGCATGAATCTTAGATGCATAAAGATAATATGACATTAACGAATTTCGCAAAAGGAATGTAGATGTTTTGATGTATTAAATTTATGCAATATCTGACACACATGGCAATAGAAATTACTGATTCATATCCCAATATGCATGTGCAGAATATACCTTAACTTTTTAGAAAAGAATTCATCACTTGAGATCCTTCGTTGATTGCATCATGACTTGCGTAGGCTTGCATTCATGCTTCCTTTGTATAATTGTCTGCAATAAACTCATTTCCTTTCTAGTATCCTTGTATTTGGATCCTTTCTTTTTGTTAGACGCAAAATAGGAAACTTTCATAGAAGCCCAAGGATACTTTCCCAACTCATCTCAGTAGAGTATTTAAGGGAAATATGCATAATAAAACAATATCTCGCAAAAATAAATTCTTTCTTTGTAAGGCATGACAATATCGGAGAACACATAATGAGTCCATAAAAAAAAAATTTCATTTCCAATAAGATATCAAACAATCTCTTTTATAAAATTTCATCTAAAAAATCCATCAAAATAAACTTGACTTTTATTAGGACATTTCTAACACAACCAACGATGTAAAACACGCCATTTCAAGTCAAAATAAAGCAGAGCATGAAGATAAAATGTTAAGTCCAAAGAGAATTCATAGATATTTAAAGTACGTATCCAAAGCAAATTTAGAATTTGAAAAATATTCCTTTACTTACCAAATTCTCTTTCCTTATTCCCAAAATGATTTCTATAATGCTGGATTGAAGGCCTGCGCTTTAATCTCTCCTTGACCTTCGGAAAGTCATTCTTGATCTTACTTTCATTTTCGAAACCGAGGCCGGATTTGTTGTAATAGGGGACTTGAATGGATAGAACATGCTCTAATGTCTTTGAGCCAAGAGAAAAATTTTTGCAAATCTTCGGAATTTCTTCCTTATAGGAATCAACTTCTTTTTGCAAAATATCCTTTTCTTCCTTGACAGAGGAATTCTCCTTTTCAAGCTCAATGATCCTTTTCTCATTCGTAATATTTTGTTGCTTCAATTTAGAGACTTCCTTTTTCAACTTGGAGATCTTCTTCAACGCATTCTCATGTTCCGTGCTTAACTCTTCAAAAAGATCATCATCATCGAGAATAGGATCTGAACAAATCACCTCATCTTCTTCGGATTCAATGTCCGCCATTAAGCATAGATTTCCCTGCTCAAGGATTTCATCATCGCTGGATTCAGACTCTTCATTGTCGTCTCTGTTCTTAAGATATTTTCTTTCTCCGGAAAACTTTGTTGGCTTCTTCTCTTTGGGGTTTCTTCTCTTTCTCACAAGGTGTTGAAATCTTTTGATCAGCAACTTCATCTCCTCATCGTCGTCTTCTTCATCTCCTTCAAAATCTGTTTCATCAGAATCAATGTTAGATTTTAAGGCAATTAACTTCTTACCTTCTGGATCTTCTTCATGTATACGTTCTACTTCATATGACGAAGAGTTCCAATCAGTTCATTCATTGATAGTGGCATGATCCTTTGAGTCTCTCGAAGTGAGGTTTTGATGTTGTCCCACTGCTTTGACAGTTCTCTCAAAAGTTTGTTAACTTTCATCGCATCTGAGACTGGTTGTCCTTGATATGCAAGACCGTTTACTATGTCAGCAAATCCGTCATACATATCAGCAACTGATTCTCCTGTCTTCATTCTGAACGATTCATATTGTCCAAGCAACAGATTGATCTGTGTTTCCTTCGCTCTATCTGTTCCTTCATATGTGGTGTAGAGGGTGTCCCAGATGTCCTTTGCTGATTCACAAGAAGCAATTTTCTTATACTCAACAGGTGATAAAGCACAATAAAATGAATAAATTGCTTTTGAATCTAAAGCTTCTCTTTTTGTTATCTCAGTTTGAGATAATGAAGGATCTGCTGATTTGCTTTCTTCTTGCTTCTCGTTTGAAGCGGATACGGAATGTTTTGGATTGATTCCTCTGATGACAACATCCCATTGCATGTGATCAATTGATTTGATGAATGCCTTCATCTTGTTTTTCCAGATGCTATATTCTTTGCCATCGAAATATGGTGGCCTGGAATTGCTTTGTCCTTCAATAAGACCTGGAGCACTCATGCTAGCCATATAGATCGTTAGCTCAGAAGTAAAACACTTCAATAAACGAGCAACCTGCTCTGATACCAATTGATGTAGCTAGCAAGGATCACCTAGAGGGGGGTGAATAGGTGATCTAAAACAAATTTCAATAATTTATGCGGAAACAAAATAAATCGCAGAAGAGTCTGAATAAAATTCAGATTCAAGACAGATTATATAGACTGTGCTCTTGATGTGCAGAATATAAAGTAAGAGATAAGGGATAGAGAATCTGCACACAAGTTTATAGTGGTTCGGCTTATAGCAAGCCTACGTCCACTCTCCCACGCTTACTGACACCGGCTGGATTCCACTAATCAAATCAATGAGAAGTTACAAGCAAGTTGTGCCGCTTAAACCCAAGCACTTCTCCCGAAGCTGGTCGCTTATACCAAGCCGATAGATCACACTATCTCACACCTAAGCACACACTTATAACACCTGTCTACACCTCTCAAATGATTACACGTTTAAGCTCACGAAAGACAAGAGATTGAATCGGAGTATGCTCAGACTTTGGACTTGTTAATTCTTGATTTCGTTCTCTACCTTCTGCTCCTCGTTGATCTCCTTTTATACTCCTCCACTTCCAAACTAGCCGTTGGACAGTCTTCAGAGGATCATCTTCCAATATTCACCTTTGGACTGATTTGTATAAAATGGATTGAGTAGCCGTTGGTTGATAAAATCGAATCCCCGATTCTCGGTCGCCCATACAATCGAATCTTGGTTTCCATAAGTAGAGCTTTATCCGTTGTAATGTATACTTGTCATAATGTTTGATTGTCAATCAATTATAGCCTTAGATTGAGACAATCAAAACTTTCCTTCGTGAAATCCATACCGGATCACTAGTGTTATGTTTCGTTCTTCTCGCGTCCGAATAATTTTAGCGTCCGCGTCTCGAATAATTTCAGCGCTCGCGTCCGAATAATTTCAGCGCCGCATCTTAAGAATTTCTGCGTCCGAAGAAATTCTGCGTCTGAACTTTCTCGTTCTGAGTCTGAACTTCTCGTTCTGAGTCTGAATCTCTTTTGCTTGAAGTTCTTTCACAATCTGAACACGAACTAGATCAAGATTGACATATGCTTTTCTTCCAAAAACAACTTCCTGAATCAAAATACTTCAAAGCATTTATCAGACTTACAAAACACTCATGGACAGTTTTGTCAACTTCAAAAACTATTGGGAATTTTCCTTAACACTATGTACCATAGTCAATTTGTGTGCCTCTCACGAAACAGGGACACATGACGCCCACCAGGGTCCAGTCCCTATAGTCGTAAATCGATGGCGTTATGAAGATGCCAGTGCTGAAGTTTGCCGATGTAATCGTGCCATCTTTGGGTTTGGTGTCATGACATTCGTGGAGTCGCTAAAGATACTCTAGAAAATTCGGGAACAACCTGGGTTGTGAATTCGAGCTCGAGCTTGGCTGAGTTTATATTGACGCTTTTGTATCAATCTGGGTCTTCAAGTGCTCTCATTTTCTGGGGTATTGTGGAGCAAGTTTATGGTGTATGTCCCGGTTTTAGTTTTCGGTGTCTTTTGTGCCCGTGTGCTTTCAATGTCGCAAGGCTTCATCACGTTTCTCAGCATTTATGAATCCCCTGGATCTTCTGAGAGACAGACTTCCCTTCGCATTACTTTCTCAAAATTCTTGGACTCCTACCTCAAAAGTGTTGGAAGTTACCCTGTTTCAGGATCGTCCCACATGACATGGACAGAGAGAGGAAGGAGCTAGAGAATAAGAATGGTGGTTTCCTTAGGCGGCAATGTGAGGACATTGGCCTGCCTTACTGTCAAGTAAGCAGAGCTTGTCTTCAATTCATCTCATTTGGGCTAAATCCTGAACACATGCGCCGAAGCAGCAGCGACTGCCTCTGACTGCGGCTCGAACCTTGTCGAAGAACCTGAAGAAAGGAGAGTAGAAAATGTGGCAAGAGGTGATTTCAAAGATGACCCTTCAACGATGGGGGGGAGTATCGGCGGAAAAGGCCGGAAGAAAAGCCGGAGAGGAGTCCCGAGGAAAGAAGTGCGGCAGTAAGAAGCGCTGCTAGCCGGCGGTCGGTTGAGTCGTCCCTTCTTTATGCAACACAACGGTTGGAGAATGCTGACCAGTTCCCACTATGGCTGACTTGCGGTGGGGATACCATTCCAGTAGACTGCCCCCTCCAACGTACGAAATTTAATTATCGATCAAAGACGATGCATCACCTTCAAAAACACATTCTAAAGGCAAAAAGGTCGTCGTTGTTCATTCAAAAATGTTGTGCATTTCTTCGTGATATCTTGGACTTTTTCTCTGGTGATGAGCGACAAATTGGCTCTGGCAATCAATCTAAGAATGCCCCCCACGATTTGCATCTCATTAGGCGTGACACTCACAATCAAATTACTCAGCAAGGCAGAGATGATTCTGATTAGAATCGTATCATATTATCTAACGGGCCAGGCCCGTGAACCCGAAGATGGCCGGCCCATTGACCCGATTCCTTCGGACCCGACCCGTCTCGGCCGGCTTCGGTTTAAAAACAGCCTCCTCCTTCTCCGATCGCCCCGAAATTAAAAAGGACTCCCATCGATCGGGTATCGCGCCAAGCGAACGTTGCTTGCGACGTAACAAAGCCTCTCTCTCTCTCTCTCTCTCTCTCTCGCTCTCCGCATGGCGGCCTCGTCGGCGGCCCAGAACCCCGCCATGCCGCCGCCGCCCTCCTCGATCGCCGGCGTCGCGGGGGGGCTCCGCACGGACACGCCGACGCCGCCGCCGCCGAAGACCCTCCGCGGCCTCAACAAGCCCAAATGCATCCAGTGCGGCAACGTCGCTCGCTCGCGGTAATCGACTCGATTCCCCTTCTCCGATTCTGCTGCTGGTTCTCGAAAGGCGTCGCCTTTTTTCTCTTGTCGCGCGTTCTGTGTGTTGCTCCGGTGCTCGCGTTACTGCGGTTTCGTTTTGTTCGGGGAGTTGTTCGGAGATAATAGTCAGGAATTTGCCCGCGAGTGCTTAGGTTGAAGTAGGCTCTGGGCTCTGATGGCTAGGGGGGACGGCTCGCTCGTGAGCGAGTATATCGTCCAGGCTGTGTGTATAGGAGGATGTGAGTTAGATTTTGCAGACGGTCAGTTGCTGATGATGCTCGAAGCCGACCGAATTGGCGGGTCCATTGGGGTGGAGCTGAATCTGCAGGCAGCTCTTTTGCCTATATGGCTGTTAGATGCTTATGTTAGTAATTAGGGCAAAGAAATAGGAGATATCAAGCTCGCAAAACGGATCGTGATTTGAAAAACTTACCTTAGGAGTCTCTCTTTGCCGTTTCGTGCGTAAGTTTAGGAGCTTCTGGCAGGTATGGTAGGTTTTGCGAAGTAATTCTCGGTGACGGGTTTATGGTTCCTCATGTGAAGTCATTCGTACAGATTAAGTGGGCCATCCAGTGATTGCATTTCCGCTATTAACACGTCGGCAGTTGGGCTTTAGCGCACCGCTTATCTTTTATGTTTCTGGTATCTTTGATAAGGCTTCCTTTTAGGGGAAACCGAAGGAAAAAGGAACTGTTTTGGGGGGAGGAGGTGTTGTCGGTTGCTCGGTCTATGGTTGGAGGGTTTTGTTCCCCTCCAAACCAAGGTTCTTGTTTGTAATTGGTCAGAAGGGCCAAGTTCGCATCTGGAAGTTGAGAGCAGAGTTGACTAAAATTCAAATTTTTCTTTGCATAGTTTGTACATGAATCAATATTCTCTCCGGCATATTTATTTTCGCTTGTTAAGAAGTTATGGCTCTTCCAGTTGGCAATTATCACGACTCCATGTTAAGGACAATGCAGGAGCAGGTGTTTTAATAAGAGAGCTCTTTCATGAGCTTTTATTTATTGATACATATAATCTCGTACACTTGCCCAATATTAGCTGATCATCTGTGACCATAGGCATACTGCTAGCAAGAGTGGGTTGTGTAAGACTTTCATAATGAATGGTCTGCAATTTGCTGGTTTTAGTAATGGTAAATGAAGGGAGGACTTGATTCCGCATATTGAGGAAGTTAAACGATTCGATTGAAAAAGAAAAAGAAATTAGAAAATCAAATCGCACAAACAATTTTACATAGAGGACCAAAGTGTAGAGTTAACCGTTAAAGTCTTGATCAAAATCTTATGTGATAATGATTCCTCAATCTGATACCCAAGAAATCATTTGCATTTGATCTAGGTTTTTTAACCTTTTCGTGATGTAATTCTAATTGATTCAGTTATAGGATTGATATGATCGTGTCTTTACTGATTTAATTTCTATACGATATGGTGTAAGTTGATCTCAAGAGTTGTATAGTCTGTTAGACTTTCTAGATTCTAGCTCTTTGTATTTTTTGTATAACGGAGGTAACCTTTTTGGTGGTTCGTACCTTTCTCATATCAAAGAACTTTCCTTTTGCTTTCAAGACTCAAATATAAACAAGTTCTACATTGATTATAGTTATCCTTGTTGGTAGGACTGATGATACGCGAACCATAATCATGTAATTATTACCAATGATGTGTGTTTCACATCAAGATCTTACAAAATGTATGTTGCATAATTTGACCTTCCATATGGTTAATGCAAGCATTTAAAGTGAAAGAATTGGTTCTCCTTATGCTGTTAAATTAAATATAGCAAATCTCATTGCCATACTCACAGCATGGATTGTAAATGTTTGGGGACATTACATTACGTCAAGCCTAAATTCTATTTCTCAAACTTGAGCTTGAACATTTGCAAATTGCTTTGTATTGACATTGTTCCACTTTCTATGTTGAGATAGTTATAACGAAAAAAACGTATGAATGCCTGGAGTCCTCGTCGAGAGATCATAAATGCACTTGATAACGCATTTAATATATTTTGGGAAAGAGAAGCTGGTAGTGATGTACTAAATTCGTTGTAATATCTGAGGTTGTGATCTTTGCCCATTTCGAGAGCATATTAATTGTCTTGGAGGTGCTATTTATGTTGATCCACCGACCAATAAAATACCGATATAGTTCAAACGTACATTACACCAATGAGTTGTCTGGTCATGCCTTGATATAGCTAGCAGGTTGTGGTGGCGAGGGAATCTACGCACGATTTTGTTAACAATGACACAGATGGAATTATTGTGCTTTGATTTTGAGAATGTGGTGATTTTTTTTAAGATTTTGAAACAATATCTTTCTCCCCTTTATCTCCATTTTGATCTGTTGAGGTTATTGTGTAGGTGTCCTTACCAGTCATGCAAAAGTTGCTGCTCCAAAGCTCAAAATCCCTGTCATATTCATGGTATGCTACTTTTCAAATATGTCGGTTCTATTTACGGCACTGTTGCCATGCGAGTTTAGGGATGTTATCAAGGATTTAGGATGTTGATGCTGCGAGGATGATGTTGCTCGATTGTATCCTGAAACAATACATCCTGCTCTCCTCTTCTGAGTTTTAAGTGTAATGACGTTTGAATGGGCAATTGGGATCTAATTGTTATGCTGGATATCACAACATTTTTTTATGACAGAAGATGACATTTATGATTAGGAAGGTATACTTCATTGACATTTGACTATTCAATGGAAGAGAAAATGCTTTTCTTATGTATTTTGTGTCCGAACATCTACAATATGGAGGATGCCATTGAAGTTGTAGAATTATAGCATGTAAAATAGAAAATTTATTGGACTCTTTATAAATCATAACAAAGACACGTCCAGCATGTCCTGTAGAGTTTTTTTTTTCTTAATTTCTTTACACGGTCACGCTAGTCTGTGTCTCTAAATTTGGGTATGAAGTACATGTTCCTATTCTATGTAACATTGACAATCTTCTATTTGAGAATTGAAATAGATGTCACAGAGCTAACCGAGTTTGTCATGATGAAAACTGAGAAGTTCATGCTTTATATCTTGTTTGTACGAACTACTGCTGGTATTATTACTGCCGTAAGTGATTAGTCATTGTTGCAGTAATCAATGTGGTGCATTCTGCATCGATTTGGAGGTCAGAAGCAAATGTCAAAAGTGGACTGAAGAAAACTTTTACTTGCGAAAGATGCAGTTTATCCATCATAAATCTGTACATCCTCTGATGTTTTTCATGACCAGGGATTCGGCACTATCAAAATTGTCAATTCAGCTATAATCTTATCTGTTGATATTTGGTTATGGGAAAAAGAGAAGTAGGTTGAAGAAATGGTTTGCGTGTTTGCTTCAGTAGACATGTGTTTCATGATGTATGACACTTTGGATGAATAAATGCTAAAGTTGTGTGAACTTGCTATGCAAAAGTGAAAATTGAGATTTGTGAATTTGTTCGCAAAAGCTTGCGATAGTATTTCTTTTGTCATGGCCATTTATTCCTGATGTTGCCATCCTCCTTAATTAGTCGTTAGAGATGCTCAGCTTCTCATGATCTATTGTATTTTTTTTAGTACTTACTTGCCATCCGTGCAGTTTTGAAAGCCAATGCAACTTTTCCAGAGAAGAACCCACCTTCAAGCTCTCCTATCTTTAGTCAGCAGGCAACTGAATCATCTTCTTCAGGGTAAGTTGTCAGTGTTTATTACCAAGGGATGCACATCACCTGCTTTGTTGAAGTTTCAGCTCTAATTGCTCATCAGTATAAGTGACTCGTCTACTGTAGTTTTTATTTTTCATATTCATCCAATAGAGATGCTTACATTGATTAGACATTTGGTTTCGACTCTTTCTACTTTAACGTCATTAAAAAATCTGCCAATTTTCCCATGTTTAGTTGGTCATTAAGTAAATTTCTCGGTGGATGTACTATTGGAACATCCAAGTGCAAAGTTATATTCAGATTTAAAGGAGATGCTGCTTCACTCAGTGGTTTGACATTTTTCTCAAAATGCGGCTTTACTCAGGGTGTGATCTAGTTTGTGATCATGTTCTTAGAGATAACTTTTTTGAATATGGAAGAATGAAATTTTAATTGGACTGGTTTGGTTATGACGTGACTATAATTCTGTAGGAGTGGCAGTTATACACAGTTAATGATCAAGGAAAAATTGTGGTCTTGAAAATGATCCATTGAAGTAGGCGTGTAAGCTCGTCTTTTTTGTAGTAATAAACTGGAATTTTCGATCTCCACGTCAGACTTTAGACTGTCAATGCATGTTTCCTGCAGATAAAGAAATAGTAGAATGTGAGATTAGATGCTCATTAGTATGTGCGATGACTGGGGTACTCTTGTGTCAAGGTTTAGACGTGTCTTCCTGGATTGACTTTTTCTTTCAATTTTTTGCTTAATCAAAATTTCCCAGCGCACACAGTATGATTTCTTTTAAACTCAAAACATTTGAAACTTTCACAAAATGCAAATGTCAGACATGTAGATTGGCATATTATACTTCCAAAATTCTTTGAAATTTGTGTAATATTTTTCAATTTTGACGGGAAAACAAAATAGTACAATTTGGTTTTACTGTAGCTCAAACAAACAGGCATGGACATGGACAGAGTCAATCAGCTCACTGGGCATGCTATCTTTCAAGCTTGTTATTTGTCGACATCCTAAAGCAATCTATTCACTGCTTTAAATGAAAACAGCAAAGTTTTATGCAGTAAGTTGTCACGCTTTATCACCAAATGACATGGTTGTTAGTATCAGAAGATTTTGGCTGTGTTATTTGACTATATTCATCTGAGATACAAGAAGTTAAATCTGAAATGTAACTTCTTACATGGAGTAAACTGTTGGAAGTATTCACTTAGTTCTCATGAATTCTTTCTTGGCTTCATTCTCTTAGTTTGTGCATAGTGTTTTCCATTTCGTCATTATATTTTTTTTATTACTTGAAATGTTTTGTACTTTTAACAGCTGCTTCAATTCACTGACTTGCCTATAGCTAAGTATGTCGTCTGGTGAGAAATGAAACGTGATTTATATCAATTTACTTTTTTGTGACTTTCTTTCAGGAGTTCACTGAGAGTTGCATCTCTTCGGCAACTATCCAACAATTTTTCCCAATTTAATAATGTGCAAATGCCATTGCGTTCTAAGAAGCCATTAACCAGAAAGGTATGCATAATTGAAGTTATCTAAGTGTTGAATCTTTGTTAGATTGTGTTTCAATGGTTTGGCAATACATGTTCTTGACTGCGAGAGCTTTTTCAGGATGCTGCGGCTATAAATGAATGGAGGTTTGCCAAGTTAAAGGAGTTCAAGGATCAGCTTATCGAGGTAGAGAATGAATCTTTTGACCGATATATGCAGAATGTTAGCCTACTAGAAGAGGCATTTGCTGTGGAGTTTTTAGCCAAAGGTTCTGGCCAAGATGAGTCCTCTACATCAATATCTAGCCTCACTTGCGGGGAGGAGAAGAGCTTTGTCTTCTCAGAGATGAAACTGAAGCTAAAAGCGAACCCAGTTAGGAAGGAGAATTTGAGAAAGAGGATTCATGGCGTCATTGATCAAGGGTTAAGGAAACTTCAGAAACTTGAGCTGAATAATCAGGCAAATTTCTCAGTTGCCCAAGGTGCACTGAATGACAAGCCCAAAATAAATGGTTTTCAGGTTGAAAGAGCTTTGATTATCCATGATCTAAACGAGAAGCTGAACAAAGCACGGAATGAGGAGGATTTAAAATCTTGCTTGGATATGCAAGCCCAGTTAATTAGTCAGCACGTGGGGTCAGGGGCAACAGTAGCAGAAAACACCAAGCCATCCCTGCCCGCACATGCTGCTGAAGATGATAAAAAAAGGGGGTCTGGATCTGCTTTTGCTTTACCGAAGTCTGTAAGTACCGCTGAGATTGATCAAGAAACTCTCAGCATCATCAGCGCTCGCTTTTCTTCTCTTGAGCAGATAGAAAATCTGTAACATGACTTGGAGGTAGGACACCAGCCAAAGGCTGAATTTGAGGATGAAATAACATGACATTGTTATTTGTTGTACTGGAATCGGTTCCGTTAGTTAGTTTTACGTCCGAGCGCCCTTTTGGAGTCTCCTCCTTGCTGTGAACAGCCATGTTTTGAGGGTTATTGGTGCCGATGTAATTTAGTGTCGCAATGTTTGGATATTCTTGTTACATACATAAACTCTATTTATAGCTTGCAGATGATAGCTTTGGATGCATATGTGGAAATTGCTCACACTTCGCGACGTTCGGAGTCCAATGCAGGCCAAAGCTACGCCGGCGATACTGTTGTTGTGACCCTCAGATTGTTCACTCTACACCAAAATTGCCATGCCTTTACTTTGTGCTATACGCTTTGAATCTACATGATAGGACTGTCCACGAAGTGAAAATTGATTCGAATGAGCTGCTCTGGGCTTGTCTGTTGGGCTCAAGTAACTTCAATTGGCCTTCTGAATATATGATGCCCCCGTTGGTCTTTTGTTGGCTAGGACTAGGTTATCTCCAATGCTGTGTGGGTTAAGTTGCCAAACTTGGTGTAATTGGGTTAAATTAGTACCGAATAGTTTATTCTTCTTCTTTTTTTTTAATTCTCTTCCAAAGTCTAAAAAATAGAAAGTCTTCTTCAATCAAATGAACACGTGGCTGCCTAATGCCCTATCACGTATATTTCCTTGGGGAACGTTATGGCCTACCAAATGGGAAAATAAACTTGGGAGGAAGCAAATTGGCAGTGGGTTCATTGAATGCCCGCTCAATTTTTAATTAGCATTTTATTGAAAATCTGGAGCTCAGGCAGACGCAACACAATAGGCACATTTCAACCGCCACCACAGAGGAAGGGGGGGGGGGGGGGGGGTGAGAAAAAATAGAAATAGAATAAGGGAAAAAATGAAGAAGAAGAAGATGGGAAAGCCTAATCATGAGATGGCCAAGCACAATCCTTTGTAAACACATGTCTTCAGTCCAAAGTGAAATCAAATTCAAGCTTGAATTCTTGGTGCTCTGTTGGAAAGATTCCAAAATGGGCTCTTAAAGGCAAAAATACCATAATGACAGAAAAATTCCATCGTTGGGAACTCTCTCTCTCTCTCTCTCTCTCTCTCTCTCAAAGCTCCTTTCACAACCATTTTAGCTTTGGAGGTTTTTAATGGGGGGGGGGATGGTGCTTTTCTTTGCTTTATTCTCTTTCTTATATATGCTTCTCAACCCCAACACCACCTTTCTTGGTGGATTTCTCTTTTCTCTGTTTCTATCATCCAAACCCCTCAAAACAAGGCTGTCAAGTGTCAAATGCTTTCAGTTTCAATGGCTCTCTGCTCATCTCAAGTTCTCAACATCACCTTTTCTTTTCTTTTTTCTCCTTCCCCTCAAAACAGCTTTTCTCTAACCCTTTTTATCATCAAACCCCACATTATCTTAGCCGCTCATTTCAACCTCAGATTTTCAAAATAGTCATGAAGGGAATTTTCGGTTCCCTCATGCTCTGCACTGTTAGTGTTAGCCACAGAGAATTGAATCCACTAAAGTTGCGCAAGATCTCAATGAGATTATACAAAAAGATGCCACGTCCATCTTGGTGACAATTCCCTGTAGTCGATGTCTAAAGTAACCCATAAGTTCCCCCACCTTTAGATCTCGAGGTGTAGACATATATTTTGCTTTTGCCCCCACTTTATTTCACTTAATAAGTGTGACAAAGAGAGACCTCTTAAACGTATGATGGAACTTGCTTGGAGAAACCCAGAAAAGAATAGATGGGTCATAATGCGGGTATTGCCCCAAAAATAGCGCAAGAGACTATTTCGACGTAGCAATTCAATTATGTGAGATCGTACCATTGTTATTATTATCAGACGAATCATGATGTGCACCGTCTCCTCGCTCCTCGGTCCTCATCACACACCCTATTCAATTGAGTCCATCAGATGTTACACAAAGTTGAAGTCTGACCAAAAAGTGTTGCAGGTGATGGCAATAACTATGGGGCAAACAGCAAACACCAAAGAGAGCATCACATGGCCATGGTGATCTCCGGGCTCCTCTAATTATGTGCTTGGATATAAAAACAAGTTTGTTTAAAAAAAAGTACATGAAAAAAATGAAATAATAAAAGCTGATGGCTATCAAGAAAGCTGAAATTGTCAAAAGAATGCATCATCCTTCGGTGATGCCCATTTCTTCCTCTTCAATGAAAAGTTTTTCATGCTAATTTTCAGCCACAAATCCTGTTTTTTTTCCATTTATTTTGTTATGACTATTGGCTAGATCATACTCATCCGTTATTGAGTTTTTTTGCAAGATGTCTATCATGTACGCACCCTAGCTAAGTCCCGTTGGGCCACATGGTCTGTCAACTCCAATATAAATGCCTATTATATTTGCCATCCAATTAGCTATGTGAGGGCACATGAGACCGACCATAGTTTTCGGCTACAGATTGAATTTTCTTTTTCTGAAATATTTAAATGATAAGAGTCGTATTTTTTAATATCTTTGTTGCTCTTGTTGAGGATTACTTTTGTTCTACATATTCATCTTGGCAAGATTTGCATCTCTATTCTCTCTCTATGTTCACCTCTCTTGAATCATGTCACATATCATCACATAAAATAATCAAAGAGCTTTGAATTGTTGATAGAGATTTGCTTCTCGAAGCTGCATTCCCCCTCCTCCCCTTACCACCCCCCCCTTTTTTTTTCCTTTATGACTTGTCACAACCTCAGAGGGATCAAATCGAGTCATTTGGCATCTTTATCGTTTAACCACAAAAGATTCATGCTCACCGTACCAAGTTATGAGTATTATTGAGCACCTTTATTTTAAACATTTGTGTATTTTAACTCTGTTGCTCTTTTCAGTGAAGTCGTGTAAGTTTCCAAGAGCTTTCCTAATTTTGGTGGGACAAGTTTAGGTGCGTCTCGTGACCTCTCATCCATCCTTATTGTCAAATGTCAATAAGATCACTGGGAATTGGACAAAAAGTTTAGCCTGCCTTCCTTGCACAAATGCTGATCGATCGATGAAAACGAAAGCCAGAACAATCTTTCTTTTTTTCTAAGTTGACCAAATCAATCTCCAGGCACTTCAACATGGATGGTCTGAATCATATTCCTGCTTTCATTAAAAAAAAAAGTTTGGATAGGTTCAATTCACTTCCAAGGGAAAAACAAATTTAGGGCGTTTCGATCTCTACCACCCACCCTTTGATCATCATCGACATGGCCATTCAGATAGATCCTTAACCAGTAGTAGTTAATGAAATTCAACCATTTCAACCCAAAATTCTTCTAAGGATGACAGGCCATGAGCACCAGCATATAATGGTCTACTGTCATGGAGGATAGCGACAGGAAAAGGATGACTCTTCCGGATTAGTTGGGCAACTTTGGATGGTAAGCCAGATGTAAGCAGACAATTTATTTTTGTGATTAACTATTGCCTCACAGGGTCCTATACCCGGGGCTCTTAAGGCCTTCAAAGGCTGCAATTTGTCCTTCCATCTCACCAATACAGCCAAAAGAAAACGATGCGATGATGAAAGCGGTTGAATCAAGAAGGGTTACTTGAGTTTGATTGCTTCATTGATAATTGAATTTTCTGCGATTGGGTAAATATAAGCAGGCGGAGCGCTAGAGATTTGTTCCTTTGATGGTTCTGAGAAGACACACAGACAAGATCTTCCAAATACGCCTTAGGGTTTCTCTCAGAGGTTACATCCAAATTCAAGTGACTAATCGTTCGATTCGCGCATTAGATTAGCATATAATAATGTTAAAAGCATCAAAGTGACTCATGGTTAAATATATATTTATTAGATTGGCATAAGATAACCTTACAAATTATGATAAGACATATAGGACCAAAATGAAAAATAGCGGAGATTATTATAATATTTAATCCTATCGTTCACGTCCAGCACATGTCATGGAGGTGTCAATTTTTGTATAGTTTTTTTTAATTTTTAATTAGTGCAGACCTATTGGGTTCTGGATTGTGAAATTGGTTTATGTATAGAGGGCATCAGATAGAGATGGCAATTGAGGGTCTTTTTCCTAGATTACAAACTTTGACCAATCACAAGAAATATTCAAAGAGAGATTGTCCAATCTTTGCCTCAGTGGCTAAGCATTTATTCAAAATGGTTCTTTGTCATAGTGGACAGCATCCGAGAAACGTTATGTTCCACGAATCACTTGAAGAGCTCATGACCTAGTGAGAAAAAAATAAACAACCTTATTATTTTTACCTGGAGTTGGTGATGCAAAGGATGATCATTTTGACCCAACAACAGAAAGTGGGTGGTCATCAAAATCTATCACAACTGTGGATGATAAAAGGAAAGGAGGGAAGCAACATGGAAGGCCAAAAAAAGATACCCCTCGAAGAGATTGTACGTCCAAAGGAGAATCTCCATTGCATATGGAAACTTCATATTAGTGCATTCGAATTGGTGTGTTGGGACATTTCCAGCTCAGGAATTGAAGTTCGTCCATACTAATCCCATTAATTATGTGCGAACTACGCCGAGTTAACGCCGTCAAAAGTCCGGACTTAACGAATTCATTGAGCTTTCAACGTGTTCCTTGAGCTCCATATAGGCAAGTTTTCGCACCTATGCCTCTAGATTATAAAAAAAATCATGTGTTATGCTTGACAAACATTTAAACTATAATGTAATCTTGACATTAATAGATGGCAATTTATTCCGTTACGTTTGAAAAGAATTGAGAAAAGGGTATAGACAAGAAAAACTTTACAATATGCACACATAGAAAGAAGTAAAATAGGGAAAAAAAAGGGGGGATGAAGTCAACAGTAGGGGTGTGCAAACGGAACCGCCCGAACCGGGAACCGCCCGGACCGGACCGAACCGACACTATTTGGGCGATTCTAAGGGGTGCCGGTCCGGTTCCCGGTTCCTAAAAGTGGAACCGGTGTCCGGGCGGTCCGGTTCCCGGTTCCAAGGGGGAACCGGACCGGACCGGACCGACCGGACCGGACCGACATATTTTTTCTTCAAAAAAATTAATAAAATGTAAACTAAATCCTAAGTGAACTTTATTGACATAAATTCTTTTATAAAAATTAGTAAAATGTGAACTAAACTCTAAGTGAACTTTATTGATATAAATTCATTGATAAAAATTAGTAAAATGTGAACTAAACCCTAAGTATTTGACCAAAAAAAAAACTAAATCCTAAGTGACCGGTTCTA